AAAAAAAAAAAAAAAAAAAACGCGTTGTTATGATTATAATTCCTTTAACTTAATAAAGAATAAAAGTGGTGTATTAGAATAATAAAGAAATAAAACTATTCTGATATGTATGTACTTAAATTAAGCCATGTATATTTTTTTGTGACTTTAAAAAAGGATAATTTTTTCTCTCCCAATTTTAAATAATAAAAAATTAAAAATTAATTTATTTTATGATTAAAAAGAAAATATTTTGTGAATTTAATTTTTATTACACTCAACAAAAATTAATTTTATATAGAGGTGTTGAAATTTTTTCTTAAAATATAACTAAAAAATACACTTTTTTTTTTTTTATAGAATTATCGCTTTTATATCATTTTATTTATCTTATTTATGTTATTTATGTTACACAAAAAATAAAATATAGATTCTAATATATATATATATATATATACATTTAAAAAATTAGTGTTTAATGTAGTAAAGAGAAAACAAAAGTTAACTATATTTTAATTATTTTATTTCTAAAGTACCTGTAAAATTTTGCAACAGTTAATTTTTTTATTTTTTAAAATTATCAAAAAAAGTATAATTTTTAAGTACAGATTTAACATTTTTTTACTTTAATAAAATTTAAATTACTAAAAATGTACGTTTTGTTATGTAAAAAAAGATATATATATATATAAAATGAGATAATAATAAATAATATTAAATATAAAAATAAAAAGATAATAAAAATAAAAAAACAGAATCATTTATTATGGAAAATAAGTTTTACATAATTAAAAAAAAAATAAAAGTTAATGAGTTTTTATTTATTTTATTTAAAAATGTAATTATTAGAAAATATAAAGTTATTAAACAAACATAAAATAAATTTATATAAATTGTTAATAATAAAGTAATATTTAAAAAAATTGAAGTAAAAACTTAAAAAAAGATAAGAAGTATCAACTCTATATGAACATTAATATAAAATAAAAAAAAAACTTTTATGACTGATGCGTAAATAAATTACTACACATAAATTAAAATAATAATAAAATATTTAAAGTAAAAAAATATATGTGTAATTTGGTAAACAATAATAGTAATATATATATATATATATATATACATACAATTTTTTCTACATATTTTATTTTGTTTTACATTTGTTGAGAATTATAAATAAAATAAATATTATCAGAATATTTTGGTATATGTTGTATGTTTATTTAATTTTATTTTAACTCATTTTAGTTTATTTTTTCTTATTCTGAAAAATAATCATTCATATTTTCAAATAAATAATTTGCCGCCATTTCTTCATTTTTATCGCAAGCAATAAAGGCTTCTAAAGCAATATGTTTAGGAAAACCTAATGATTCTAATTTTTTAATACTTTCCATTTCATTTTCGTTTAATGGAGTAATGGGGATATTATAACTTTCATTACTCTGATCAATTATATTTTGATTGTTTTGTTCAATGGATGCTTCATTTGGTTGCTCATTTTCTACATTTTCATTATTGTAATTTTGAATAGCTCTCAAAAATTCTCCTTGATGTTCTCTTATATATTCTAAAAAAGACGGATCTGTTCTTCCAATCATTTCTAAAATTTCTGGTATTCTTTGAGGGTTAGATAATGCAACATCCCTCAAAACGTTAAAAAAAGGAGAATTTCTAAATAATTCGGGATTTTGTGATGAAGACTGTCTTTGGTTTTCGCCTAATAAATTGTCATTTATTAAAAGGTTAGATAAATTGGGAATATTTCCAACATCTTCTCTTTCATAAGCATTCTCATTTGTATCATTTGAAGCTGGAAATCCATTAGTTAAGTAATCTATTGCTCTATTAGGATTATTATAAGCTAAGATCATTGCTTTTTCTACATTTTCTTTTTCAAATCCCATAGCACAAATATTGTCTATGGTCTCCTTTAATTTTTCTCCTATCAATAACATTGATTCAGCATTATCTACGTTTTCAATTTGTTTACTTTCAATATTATTATTTTCATTTTCTTCAATTTTTTGCTCATTTTTATTTAATGCATTTATATTATCATTAATATTTAATGCTTTGTTATCAGTATTGACTTTTGAATCATTAAGTTTATTATCGTTGTTTTTTAATGAATTGGAAGACGTGTTATTTACGTCATCTTTTGAATTGTTTTTATTGAATATTTTTCTAGTTACCATAACTATAATAATATCATTTTCATTTAATATATCTACAGCTTTACTTTCATCTTTTAATATTTTTCCACTAAAAATTAGTTTCTGTTTGTCAGAAGGCATATCCGGTAATACGTTTTCAACTTTTTTCTTCAAATCAAAAATAGTATCATCTTTATCTACATTTATTTCTTCCTCGTTATTTTGTAAAGTTCTTACTTTAATTATCATTTTTTATATATTAAAAAAATTAAAAAATTAATAAAATGATATATATATATTAAAAATATATAATTTTAAAATATTCCTTAATAAAAATTATAATAAATCTTAACAGTTAATGTTTTTTTTTTTTTTTTTTATTATTTTCTTAAAACAAAAAAAAAAAAAAAAAGAAAAAGAAAAAAAACGTTGAAAAAAATTATTTTTAGTTAATGTATAATCCAATGGAATTATTAAAAAAAAAATTTATTTAAATAAAAATACTTTAATAGTAATATATGTTATGAGTAATTTTTTTTTTTTTTTTTTTTTTTTCATTATTTCATCCTTGAAAATATGTCAAGTATATAATATTAAATTTCATTCAATTTCATTTATAAACTAGTTGTTTCATTTTTTAGTTATTTATTTTAAATGGTAAAAAGTTCTTAAATATATAATACTTAAATGCGCGTGAATAAAATTTAATTTGTATATAACTTAAAAAGTTTATTTAAAATTGAGATATATATTGTGGCACATTATTTAATATGAGATTTTATCTTTTTTAGAAATTTACATCCATATTTTCTTAAAAATAAGAAATTAAATATAAAATTTTGTCCTGAGTTTTGTTTATATATAATTTCGATGAATAAAACATTTTTTTTTTAGTATATTCTTTCGTTATGAAAAACAAAAGTTTGCAAATTTTTTTAAAACTTCATAATATTTAAAAAAAAACAATTATTTTTATAAAAGAAAATATTTTTTTCTACTTCATGCATTTGCTAATTTTTTCTTTTTTCTACTTTAAATTTTTAAAATTTATATATATATTTTTATTTTTTGTGTGTTACAATTATAAATATAAGATTTATATTATAAAAGCAATGCTCTTTTAAATGTTTGTGTTAACTTTACATATTAATAATGTTTAAAAATGTAAACATATTTTTCTATAATTTCTTTTAAGTTGTTTATTGTTTGTTTTTTTATTTAAATAAAATATTTTAAAAATTAAAGAACCATAGAATATTTAAATATACAATTATAAAAAAAAATTATTTTTATATAAACTTTTTTATTTAGTTTAATTTTTAAATGAATGTAGAAGTTTAATAAAGATAAAATAAAAAAAAAAAAAAATAAAATTAAATAAAATAAAAAAATATAAATATAGCGAAAAGATATTAATATTATCATTCACTTTTTTTTTTTTTTTTTTTTTTATAAGGGATAATTTAACATATAATAATTAAAAAATATATTTAAAAAATTATTTTTAACTGTAATTTAAATTTAAAATTTGTAATTGTTTAATAATTTATTATTTGATAATCGCTAAAGAATATAGTTGAAAAAAAGTAATTACCTAAAAGAGACGAATATGAAATTCTTCTTTTTTTCTTAACACATATATATATGTATATATAACATTAGTACATTATATTATCATTAGTAAAAAGAAATTGTTTATATCAATGCTTAAATTTAAGAATGTTCTTAAACAAGGTACAAATGTGATTATAATTAACAATTATTTTTATAAAAGATACTTGTCTAAAATAAACAGTAAAATTTTATATAAATATAACTCAGAAGATTATATTACAAATGACAGAAGGATTAAAATAAATGATATGAATTCTTCTGTTCTTTGCATATTCTCAAATATGTTATTAAAAGAAAATATTAAAAATGATTTGATATGGAAAAAAATAGAAAAAAGATCTTATGAATTAATAGATAAATTTGAAGTTAATGATATAGCTTCATTTTTATTTTGCTTGAGTAAGGTTCGCTATGAAACCAATTTATTTGAAAGTTTTATTCCTATAATAAAAATAAAATGCGAATATTTTAACACATCTAATTTAGCTATGCTGATATCAGCATACTCAAAGAGGAAAAAGGAAGACTTAATTATATTGTTAAAAGAAGAATTAAAAAAGAAAGTCCATACTCTTCATAATATGGTTGAGATATCGATGATATTAAATGCTCTAGTTAAATGTAAAATAAATGATGAAGATTTATTTAGCAAAATGAGCAATATTATTATTGATAATGTAGTTTATAATAATGTTCATGTAAGAGATATATGTGTCATTACTTACTGCTATGCGTATATATTATATAAAAACATGAATATTTTCAAAATATTATCTCAGAAAATAATTATTTTAATGGATGATGTTAACCTTGTTGACCTATGTAGAGTATTATATTCATATATGAGAATAAATAGAAACTTTAATCATATATTAAAACTTTCTGCATTCAAACTGGAAAATATTATTGAAAAAAGTAGCATTAGTGACGTGATTAATTGTATTCATTTTTTACCAATTTTAAAACAAATAGTAGAAAAACATGAATATAATGATATAAACTGTGAAATTATAGATGAAAATGAATTTAATTATTTTATAAACTATTTTAATTTATTTAATTATATAGTAAATGTTTTTAATGGTAAGCTTATAAGTTATACAAATATATTAAATTCAAATCAAATAAGTAACATTTTTTATATGTACTCAAGATATAACATACTTATGCGTCTATCTGAATTGGAAGTATTTATTTATAAAATAAAAAATATGATATTAACAAACGATCTAAAAATTTATATTTTGTATTCTTTAACCTTACTTTTAAAAAATTATGAAAACAACACTATATACGATTTTAATTTTCTTAACGTAAACAAAATTTTTGTGAAAAAAACTGAAAATTTGAATGAAAAATTTAAAAAAGAAAATATAAAGTGCGTAAATAAACTTGATTATAATAAATTGAAAAATAATTTAGTGAGTTGCTTAAAAGAATGGGAAAATGATATTAATTTGTTTATAAATAATTATGATGTTTGTTTAACTCAAGATGTTATAAAGGTACTTAATATTTGTTTAATTCTAAATTACACACATGATTCCATCTTAAATAATATAAAACATTATATAATATTTAATTACAAAAATATAAATGAACACAATGCATATACACTAATATTTTATTTTCAAAAACTGAACAAATTAAATGAAGACGAAGATTTTTATGAAATTCTCAAAAATAAAATAAAATCTTTGAAATAAACCAAATTAAAACGAAAAAGTTATATGTTTTTATGAGAAAAAAAAAAAAAAAAAAAAGCTATTTTTTTTTTTTAATTACGGATGTATAAATTTTTACCCTTCTGGGTAGACAATAATTGAGTTATTGTAATTGGATGTAAAAAAAAATTTATTAAAATTTATTAAAAATATTAAATTTAATTTTAATTTATGATTTACTCTTTTTTTTTTTTTTTTTTTTTATGTTTTTGTATCGTTTAAATTTCAATTTTTAATATTAATAAATGCATAATTTTAAAGATACACTTTAAAAATTAAAAAATTAAAATTTTAAGAAAACTATATATGTATATATATAAAGGGAGAGAAAGATAGATAGGTGGGGAGAATCATAAAATTCTTTTTCTTATAATTATACAAAAAAAAAAAAAAATAAATTTTATATTTTTAAATCATATTAAGATTTTAGTTTTCGGAAACATCAAAATAATACTTCTTTTCATTAGCAAGAAGATGTATTATAGCAGTGATCCTTCATTTTTTATTTCTCATGTCGGTAATATTTTCCAAGGGTGATAATAAAGTTTGGACTATTTTTTTAAGTGTATTTATGGGTGTTTTAATAATTCTTGGTTTAGCACTTATAAATTTTGTTATTATGATTATTATTTCAATTTTAACTTCTCTTCTTGCGGCTTCATATATTTATTACTATTTCATTATTTACTAAAGATAAATTTTCTATAGAAGTAAAAATTGTAACTAAAGTTTCAATGTTAATTATGATAATTTTTACTATATTATATTTTAATATATATTTTTCTATAAGTAAAATTTTCAAAATTGGAGAAACTGGAAGAGAATACAAAAATTATATATTGAGATAGAAAAAGAAAAAGTAGAAAAAGATAATGAAGCTACTATTGTAAAGAGTAAAAATTACAAAGTCTAATTAACTTTTTGTGTACTAAAATAAAAAAGAACTTGTACTTTTATAAACTGATTATTGATTGTAGTTTTCCAAATTTAAATCTATTATTTTAAAATAAAAGAAAAAAGAAAAAGAAAAAAACTAAAAAAAAAAAAAAATATGAAAATGGTGAATATTTATTTTCATATATATGAGTATTCTATTAACTACATTATTTTTATTTTATAAATTTTTATTTTATAAATTTTTATTTTATTTTTTTTAACTTATCTATATCTTTATTATTTTATATAATAATAAAGATATTTTTATTTTTGTAACTTTTAGTAATTTTTATCTTTTTTTTTTTTTTTTTTTTTTTTTTTTTTTTATTATGTAAAATTTTATGAAATATAAGTCTTAATTTTTTATAATTATAAAAATAATGAAAGAATGAAAAGAATGGTAAATTTTTTGTCAAATTGTTTAAATTTACTAAATAACAATAATGTTTTTATAAAAGGTATGACTAATAAAATAACAGAATGATAAATAGAAATCTTTTTCCTATTTTCATTATTATATGGTTTTAAATTACTAATTATATTGTCATATTAGATAAGATTAATAAAAATTTGATTTATTGATTATTTAATTAAAGATTTTAATTGTTCTTTGAATAGTTAATAAAGAACAAGTATAGTGGTTTCTACTTTATTATAATATTAATTATTATAGTAAATAATTATATATATATATTGTGATATTATAATTTAACACTGAATTTATTTTAATTTCAAAATAAAATTTTTTACATTTATACAACTTCTAATGACTTATCATCTTTATTATTTATTTCTCACTTTAGCCAACTTGTACATTTTACAACTAATGTACAATTCACCATGCATTTTTACCACATATCCTACACAAAGAAAAAAGGAATAAGTTATTAAAAGAAAATTATCATTCATATAAACATATTTGAATGATTTTTTTTTTTTTTATAATTTATATATTTTTGGTATACACGTTTTAATATTCATATTTTCCCCACAAAAATTATATACGTAAATGTAGCTATATCTATTTTATATTCCTCATTTATTTAAAAATATGTGAATAATTTTATTTGTTAAAAAAAGTTTATCTCTATTTACATCAGAATTAATCGTGGCTCCTGTTATAATAAATTGTTTGTTAATTTATATACAGAATTGAAATACTGATTACACAATAATTAGGAAATATATACAAAAAATAAAGAAAATAATTATCTAATCTCCTGTTATAGATTTCAAATATTTCTTAAGTTTTTACTTTTATTTAATTATTTTATGAGTTCAATCGTAGTAGGACAATAGATATTGTGTTATAAATATGATTTTCAATTATTTTCTTAATTTATAAGAAAAATTAAAGGTCTATTAAGTATAACAGATAAATTTTTTTATGATATAATGTTAATGTATATATATATATTTTTTTAGGTTTTTTCTAAAATGATAAAAAATAAATGAATTTTTTATATATTCAATTCTTCAAGTTTTTTATAATTATATTATAAAACCATTTTTATTTTCTCTAATGATATGTCATATGTAATCTTTAAAATTAATTGTTTTAATAGTGTGTATATACACAATAGCGTTTTAATTAATTCAATTAATAATGAAAGTACTAATAAAAAATTTAATAGCTTCTATAATTTTAACCTACCTATAACAAAATATTTATGTAGCTTCAGTTTCTTTATGAGATTAATTTGATTCATCATATTTAAGTTAATATGAGATTAATAAGAAATTAAAATTATACAATAAATAAAAAGCTACTCAATTATATAAATATTTTTTTTCATATTCATGCATTTCATTTGGTGAAGTTTTTTTTTTTTTTATTACATATAAATGAAACAATGATAATGTTATAAATATCTAAATTAACTATGAACAAAAAAAAAAAAAAAATAAATATAATTTTGAATTATATTTATATGAATTAAAATATATATGATAAGTAGACAAGTAGCTCTGATGAATAAATAAAAATATTGTATTCTTTTACATCGAAATTTTTTTTTTTCCTATTTTACAATATCATAATGATATAGCATAAATTATCTTCATTTAAAACATTAAAAATGAATAAAAAGGGAATTCATTTTACTTCATTTTTGGACAAAAAGAAATAATTAATTAAATAAATAAAAGAAAAACATACGTTAATGTTTTAATGATGTTTCACAAATACATATATATATTATCATAAATAAAAAAAAAAAAAAAAAAAAAAAAAAAAAAAAAAGAGATGAAACAAATATTGTGTAATATGTTATCATTTAAAAAAAAAATAAGAATTTTTGTATATAAGACATAAAGTACTTAAAAAAGTTTGGACAAAAAAGTAAAATGTGGAATATATAAACATAATATCATATAATGAAAAAAAAAAAAGGTAGTAAATAAGCCATTAATTTTAATTTGAAAATATAAATAATAGTAACACTAAACTGTTTTATTCATGAAATTACTACAAAATATAAAAATTTAATTGAAATCATAAAGTGCTTTAATTCAAAAATATGCATACAAAAATAATAGAGAATATATTCAAATATGAATTTTCATAAATTTGCTTTTTTTAATTAATAAAAAAAAAAAACAAATTACAAATTTTTCTTGAATAAAATTTTGTACTTATGATTTATTATATAAAATAGTTAATAAAAGTTAAATTTTAATGAAAAAGTAATAGATGAAATATCTTCAAATAACTTCAAGTATTCTTATATTCCGTTAATACAGTTTTTTACATTTTTTATGCAATTGTAATGATTTTTCTGTATTTATCTAGTTTTCATTTTTAATTATTTTATCTATTTGTTTCAGAAGTGTTATTAATTATTACCCAAGGATTTCATAAATTTTACATATTTTAATTTATATTCTTTTGTTTCTTAAAAATTATATTTTTTAAATATTTATCAATATATTTAAAATAATTCTAAAAGTAATTCTTTATTCTGTGATAATTTATTAAAAAAATTATTCACTTACGTTAATTGTACTTGGGAATATTTTTATAAGTTTATATAAGTTCGTACAATATATCATTAAATTACTAAAATAAAAATATACAGAACAAATGTATTATCCAATCTAATATGTTGCGTTATTAAAAATTTGTCTATATATGTGTTAAGAAAAAATATACATATTTATAAAAAAAATATTTATAAAATATTAATATAATTTTATTTAAATAGAAAGTTAAAAAAAAAAAAAATTATTTCTTAATTTAATAAATCAAATTTGTTCTATGTTATAATATTAATAATAATAATAAATTAATTTTATAAGTTATTTCTTTTATAATATATAAATATCAATACAGCAAAAATTTATATTAAAACATATTATTTTTTGTGATTATATGTTTTAAAAATATTTATGTGTGAATTTCTTATGTATTTTAATTATGGAGCAAATTATTAAAACAAAATATATATTTTTTTAATTAAGCTTTTTATAATTTTAAAAAAATAAAATAAATAAAAATATACAGAAAATTTTTTTTTTAAAATATCTTTCTTCTTGAAAGTAACACTTTTCATAAATATATTATATATTTTGTTTTATAATATTTGTATACTATTAAAATATATATATATATATATATATATATATATATAAAATAAAAATAAAATAAATATCATTATAACATTTTGATATAATTATTAAAATAATAAAAAAAAATATATTTCTTAATATATTTTTCTTTTCTTTTTATTATGAATAAATAAAATAAATATTTTATAAAAGTAAATAATTTTGTGGAAAATTTATTTAGCACATATTTCTTTTTCAAAAAAAAAAAAAATTATGAATTATTTAGTTTAATTATATAAAAAATTTTCATACATTTATATTTTGTTTTTAAAAAAAAAAAAAAAATAAAAAAGAAGTATTTAAGAATAAAAATTTGAAGATATCATAAAAATATTATAATTAACAACATAAAAAAAAATGATAGAAAGTGAAAATTTTATGAATGAAATCGATAATTTAATAAATGATTCTGAAGAAGATAAAATAAATAATGATGAATTACAATTTTCAATAGCTCCTGTGGATATACCAAGGAATTTTATAAAAGATGCAAAAACAAAAAATAGTAAATTATTTGATTTTCATAAAGGTACGACAACATTAGCTTTTAAATTCAAAGAAGGGATAATAGTTGCAGTAGATTCAAGAGCTTCAATGGGCTCTTTCATATCTTCACCAAATGTTGAAAAAATTATAGAAATAAATAAAAACATATTAGGAACAATGGCTGGAGGAGCAGCAGATTGCCTATATTGGGAAAAATATTTAGGAAAAATAATTAAAATATATGAATTAAGAAATAATGATAAAATATCAGTTAGAGCAGCTAGTACTATATTAAGTAATATTTTGTATCAATATAAAGGATATGGTTTATGTTGCGGAATTATTTTAAGTGGATATGATCATACTGGATTTAATATGTTTTATGTTGATGATTCAGGAAAAAAAGTCGAAGGAAATTTATTTAGTTGTGGAAGTGGTAGTACATATGCTTATTCTATTTTGGATTCTTCTTATGATTATAACTTGAACTTAGAACAAGCGGTAGAACTTGCAAGAAATGCTATTTATCATGCAACCTTTAGAGATGGAGGATCAGGAGGAAAAGTTAGAGTTTATTATATTCATAAAAGTGGATATGATAAAATTATTGAAGGAGAAGATGTTTTTGATTTGCATTATCATTACACAAATCCATTACAAAAAGATCAATATGTAATGTAAAACATACATATATATATATATATATATATGTATTTTTTTCATTCAAGATATTTTATTTTTTTATTGACATTTTATATATGTTACACAATTTTTGTGTATTTTTTTTTTTTTTTTTTTTTTTACAATCAATTTACATTAATTTTACTTTTATATTTTTACATTTTTGTAACACCCAGAGGAATCATTTTTTTTAACTTTTTTTATCAAAAAAAAATTTTTTATTCTCATTGCAGTGAATATAATAATTCTGATTTATATACAAAATTATATTTTATTATATATTTTTGTGTGTTTTTTTATAATTTTAAATTATTAAAAACTAAAAAAGAAACCATATTTATAAATGTTTTAAAAGACATTAAAAAAAAACTAATACAAAATAAAAAAAGGAATGTTGTGAAATGAAACAAAATTTAATATATAATTATGTTTCTAAATTAACAAGAAAAAAAAAAAATATATATATATAGTTAATTTAATCAATTAAATAAGCTACTTTATAGAAATATACGAAAAAAAATAAAATTAATTAAATTATGTAAGAATAAATGCAGACATACAATTATATAAATTTTTTTTTTTTTTTTTTAGGATATCAATTTTATAATTATATATACATATTTCATTACTATCCAACTGTATTTTTCATATCATTAATATATTATTTAGAATTTTTTTATTTATTTATATGTATGTATTTATTTTAATCATAAGTAAGTTTTTCAATATATAGCTTATAAGAACAGAGAATATAGAATAACAAATATAATTATCATCGTTAGAAATGAATATATGATATGCTATTATATTGCAAATTATGGTATATATGTTTAAATAAATATTTATATAATTATAGTTAAACACTTTCAAAATAAAATATATTAATGAAGGATAATTACTCAGAACAAAAAGCATAAAAAGATAATTATATTTTATCATTGTTATGTTTATTTTATACTTTTTTTGTTGATATAACTTCAAAAAATGTGTAAAAATACACAAGAGCAAAAAATATGTAATATAGTTAATTGTAACTGATTTTAATCTTTTTAAAGAAAATGATGAATTGCATATCTTTAAGATATACTTTTCATTATCTAGTTCTGAATATAAAAGCTTTGAGTATATACTGATTTGTTTAATTTGAAAATTATCTTCATTTTTATTTTTTTTTTTTTTTATTTCTTCTGCATTTTTTTTTAATATGAAATTTATATTTCTTAAAAGTTTTTTACATAAACTTTTTAACCCATATAAATGGTTGTCTAAATAATTATAATCATAACAAATATTATTAAAGACTGATTCTTTATTATCATAAAAACAAAAATCACTTGAATCTTTCTTGATGAATGTATTTGATTCACTTTTTATATAATTTTTCTTTTTTGACTTTTCATAAAAAAATATATTATTTAAGAATTTCATTATATAATATAAATTGAATGCTTCTTTTTCTTTTGTTTCAAAAACAATCTTATAATCATCTAAATTATAATATACTAGAATGTTTATTATTTGAAATAGGTTATTATATTCATCTAAATTCTTAAAAGTTATCACATTATTTTTCAATAATAAGTTGTTTTTTTTTAGCTTAAAAATAGATTTATATTTTATTTTTTCTTTTAAAAATAAAATAACTTTTTTAATAAATTTTGATGTGCTAAATTTCATCCAATGATTATTTTCCTTTTTCTTTCTTTTTTTTTTTAATTTAAATTCGTTATTATTAAATTTATTTGAATAATTTATATTTTTATGGAGAAACATATCTATAATTTGCTTGTCATAATATAACGAATCTTTATGTTCTTTATTAACAAGGCACAAATTATAATTAGTTAACATTCCACTATTAACAATGCAGGTTAAATATTTATCTTTTTGTACATTAACTAAATTAGAAAAATTAGAATTATTAAATATATTATATAATCCATATAATTTATATTTATTATCATATTTATACATGAATAAAGTATAGGAAGAACAATTATAACTTAATGAATTAATTCCTAAAGTTGATTCAAAATTATTATTCATTAAAAATATTTCTGATAAAGTACTTTTTTTTATATTTTCGGATTCAAAATTAGGGTGTAAATAAGAATTTATTATCAAAAATAAAATGATCATCTTAAAAAAAAAACTGTGTATAAATTTATCATGGTATTTTAATCTATTAAAAACTATATGTCTATATATTTCTGGTTTTAAAAATAGAATATTCATAAGTATTATAAATGTGTTTTTCTCCATATATTCATCACATATTTGATTACATCTATTACATTCATTTAATTTTATATTTGTTTTATTATACACTGTGTATAAATTAGAATTACACCTTCCGCATCTTATACAAATCATCTTTTTTTTTTTTTTTTTTAATTTTTTTTAATAATTATATTTATCTTTTTTTTCATACATGTATATATATATATATTCACCATTTAGAACGAAAAAAATATATTTATATATATAGGTGCATATGGACAAAAAAATATTATTAATTTTAAAAAATAAATAATATTATTTCATATTTACTATTATTTTGTAATTAAGAATAAATAATTCAAAGAAAACTTTCATTTTTTAAAAATGCACATTTTATAAAAGTAATTAAAAGATTTCATTTATTAAATTATTGTTATTATAATATTTAATTTAATAATCTATTATTTCAGTAATTTATCAAATTGCTAATTTACAATGTTACAATTTTTTTTTTTTTTTTTTTTTTTA